TGCATCCTCCTCAGGATGGACAACATCTCTGCAGTCCGCTACATCAACCGCCTAGGCGGAGCCCGTTCCCGCCTCCTGTCAGAAATCATGAAGGAATAAACCTAGGAATAAACCTAGAGAAAGTCTTTTAACTTATAAGAACAAAAATATTTTAGAAACCCCCACTCTTCCTATAATTTTTAACTATAATAACAAAAGTGGTTTTATTAAAAAAACAATCAAAAAGCATTGGCATCTCCTGAGACATGATGATTTGCTTAAAGAAACCTTACCCATACAGCCGAAAATAGTTTTTAGAGGGGCACCCAATTTTAGATCCATTTTAACCAACAACTATACTAAAGAAATTAAAAACACTCAACACACTTTTTTAGATGGGGCAAAAGGTTTTTACAAATGCAAACGTTGCACTGTATGCAAAAATACTGATTCAACAACGAAATCTACTATTACTAGTTTTAAATCCAACCAAACTGATAAAAGTTATACCATAAGAGACTTTATCGGATGTAACACCACTAACGTTATCTACTTATTGGAGTGCCCTTGTGGCCTCCAATATGTAGGCATGACCACCAGGTGCTTAAAGATAAGACTAGCAGAACACTGCAGGAATATTAGAAATGGGTATTTAAACCACTCTGTATCTAAGCATTTTATTAACCATAATCAAGACCCTAAACTTCTCAAATGCTTAGGTATTCAGAAATGTAAAATACCTTGGAGAGGTGGCAATATAAAAAATATTCTCGGTAGGTCAGAGATGGAGTGGGTATTTAAGTTACAAACCCTAACACCCCAAGGTCTTAATGTAGATTTTGATTTATTTAATTTTCTATAACAATTTTCAGTACTGTTTGATTTTACTTATCTATTTATTATTATTTAATAGAGACTGTATTTATTATATCATTCATTATTTATTATTCTATGGGAGGATCCTCCTATTGCAGATCCTATATGATTGTATTAATTCACTATTTGTTTATACATCATTACTATTTCTTTCAAAGGTGATTTTTAACTGTATATGTCATTTATTCTAATGTATATCTACCCTTATTCTTTATTTATTCTATTTATTTCATTTTTTCATTTCCCCTACCCTGTTACTACATTTCCCATCATTCATCGAGATTCCGATCACGTGACCCGCGGGTATCTACATTCGTCGTGCCGCGGGTCACGTGACACAGTTTAGTCCCGCCTTGCCGTCCGTGCGTGCCATTCTTCTTTCCACTGGCCGCACGGACTGTTTTCATATCGGCAGACACTAGCGGTCACGTGACCCGGCGCACTACAGATACCATGGTGCATTGCGGGTCACGTGACACGCTCAAGATTTCGTTATCTATTCTATTTGTCTAATATTACAATATACAAACCTCGTTTTCTAATTATATTAACACTCATAACTCCTTATGTTCAAATAGGTTAATACTGTGCATTATTGTTAAATTTTGTTTATGTACTTTTTATTTATATTCAGCTCTGCTCTGATTGGTGCCTGCTTTTTTGGCGCCAATTTTGATTGTATGTATAAGCTATATATACTCCCTATGTGCCAGGGACTTACACTATCCCAATTTGATAAAGCCTGCTGGCGAAACGCGTTATTGGTTTTAATATATTGTATTAATAAATAATAATTTTACATATATTACCTTTCTATACTATTTTATTCTGTTCCTGGCATATCCTAAGGTGGGGATTATACCACCCACGCGAACAACAGAGTGCAGTAAGTCCTGCACTCTATTTGTGAGTATATTTTATTTATTTTTATCCTTTTATGCTATTATTTCTCCGGAGAGCACTATCGGCTGTTTTTATTTATTTCTTTTTATGAGAATTGGATACCAGCACCCCCCAAGAGGAAAAGTACCCCTAAAAGCGGAGGGTAATCCGCTGTGTGCCTATCATACTAGAGCTGGTCCTAGCTCATGGACATGTGAGTGTGCAATTTATATTTTAACCTCACTATTATTTTTCTGTACATTCTGCACGATTAGTCCTTTCCCATTGTGTTTTTCATATCGGGAGATGGACAACTGTTAACAAAGAAGATACCACATCAGCCAAGACACCACCTACTATTGGGACTTTTATACTGAATATATAATATTTTTATTTTATTTTTTATTATTTATTTTATTTTCTCATCGAGTTTTATCTTTTCTTGTTTTATTTATTTTCTGTGGCGCAGCCTTTTTTCTGTTTTCTCTGGATCTTCGATTTCTGCCTACCCCGCAACATCTCTCTCACGGCAGAATATCTCCCAGGAGAGACAAACCTCACAGCAGACTGGTTCTCACGTCACTGGCGGGACACCAGCGACTGGAAACTAGATCCACAAATCTTCAACCACATTGCGGATCGCCGAGGACCACTCCACCTGGATCTATTTGCGTCCCGCAACAACAGACAAACGGAACTGTACTTCAGCTGGCTCCCGGATCCGGAGAGCGCTGCAGTGGACGCATTCCTACAACCATGGCCGATCACGGGAGCCTACGCCTTTCCCCCCTTTGCCATGATAGCGAGGACCATACACTACCTGAAGAATCAACAAACCTCTCTAGTGCTCATCACTCCACTATGGAGAGGACAACCTTGGTTCCCGGACCTCCTAGCTCTTTCATACAAGTATCCTCTTCTATTACCCCATCATCAGTACATTCTCACAGATCCAAGAGATCTCACAGATCTCACAGATCCTCATCCACTCATCCTGGACGAGCGTCTCCATCTGGTGGCTTGGACACTTTCAGGGGCTCCTGGCAAGTCGGCGAACTATCGCAGGCTGCTAAAGAGCTACTATGGGACTCATGGGCCCCTGGAACCAGAAGATGCTACCTATCCGCTTGGAACTCCTGGTCCACTTGGTGTTTGGAACGGAACATCGATCCATTTACGGCCCCTATTTCAGCCATTTTGAACTTCCTATCCCACCTATTCTCATTAGGTCGGTCTTACAGATCAATCAACGTAATTCGTTCAGCTATTTCAGCAGCTCATGTCCCCATACTAGGGATTCCGGTTGGCAAGGACCCACTGGTGTGTCGACTTCTGAGGGGCATTCGATTACAACGCCCTCCAGGCCCGAAATATTCTCGATTCTGGGACGTCGACGTAATCCTCCGATTCCTGAGAGACTGGCCAACTAACGACAGACTCTCCCTCCGACAACTCTCAGCAAAACTCACAGTCTTGCTTTGCCTGGTCTCCTTCCGCAGAGTGTCAGACATTCGAGCGCTGGACATAGACGCTTTTTCTACCTCCCCAGAAGGAGTAACATTCAGGATATCTCGTCGCACTAAGACGGACTCCACATCTGTATTTTATCCATTCTTCCCCACGGATCCACAACTCTGTGTCGTCTCCACTCTACATCAGTATGTAGAAACTACCCTACCACTCAGGTCTACGCCCTCAGGTCAACTCTTAGTATCATACGTTAGACCACATGTTCCTATTACAACAACCACCCTAGCGAGATGGGTTCGATGGTTACTATCGCTAGCCGGCGTGGACACTACATTCGGAGCCCACTCCGTACGCGGAGCAGCAGCATCCTCAGCCTTCATGGCGGGTGCCTCCATAACGGATATCCTACACTCCGCGGATTGGTCTAGAGAATCTACGTTCCGCACCTTCTACTTCCGACCGAACTCCGGTGCAGCCATGTCTCTTATACAACAGCGTTAAAAATGCAAAATAGGAAGCCTCCTGTCATGTGATAAAATTGAAGATTATGCTAGCGTTAGTGTACTTATAATCTTAATTTTAGTAATGACAGGAGGCGAGTATTTTCCCACCCTTCCCACCCGGAGAGGAGGGGAACTACTCTATTCATACAGCTACTACTGTCTCCTTTTTCTTCCTTCTTTTCAGTCAACCAACATGTTGGCATATTGTATCCTCTATTACCATCAGCCTATCTATCTACTGTTAGACTATTCTCTGAATTCATAATATACACTGTTTCAATGCTATCTGATGGATCAATACCTATATCACAAACAGTTGCCAGACCGGTGCCTAACCTTCTCACGTTCTCATTTCAGTTTAACTTCGTTTCATCCTGCAACTTCTGCGGCATAATCATTGGACTACGGTTCTTCAGATAAAGACCACGCCTTCTATCGGACGACTTCCATCACCCGTTGGTGCCGGTTCCCACTCATGCCGAGAAGTTCATCTTTTCCAGTTGGATACCACAGTTGATGTTTACTACAGACTTTATCGCTACCTTCTTCCCTGTTCCGATGTCGCTTCCGAAAGAGGAGGAGGAGCCTATTTGCTGGGATGATATACTCCCTATTTGCATTTTGATTGGTTTAAATGTTTCACTTTCTTTACTGCTATGGAGTTTAGTAAAGAGAGTTATGCAAAATACTCGCCTCCTGTCATTACTAACATTAAGATTATAAGTACACTAACGCTAGCATAATCTTCAATTCTGCTTTGTCTTTCATTTATTCTCTGTCTACCTGCAGACATTTCATATATCTGTCTCAGGCACTAACCCAGCCACTCTATGGACCGGTATATGTACCTCTACTGTTTTCATGAAAGAACATGTTAAACTTAATGGTGTGACAGTCTGAGTAGGTATCACTGTCCTGCATACCCTTTTCATATAAAATAATATGCCAATAATCCACAGGTTCCAATATCGCTGGTGTCGCATAATAACCCACACATGAGCCAAAGTTTAATGCCTGGATAAGACTGGTTTAATGAGAACACGGGCATTCAATTTATACAGTGCATAACTGTAGCAGGAGCCGGTCTCTGTTCATGAGGTTTTATATGAAAAACTGCAATAGGTAAAATATATCTAGTTCGTGAAGAATGCTCCTTGTGTTCGGTAGTTAGAAACTCCCGAACACCGTTCGTGTGAGTTGCTGGGAAAGAGAACATAGCAGAGTTCCATAGAGACCGGGGTTCATGTGAGTGTGTTGCCAAAAAGCATTCCAGGCACTCGACGACCAAGCCCCGAAGGCAGTGTTTTGGAGACATAATGGCCGCCACCCATTGTTCTCACCACGTGTATTCGTATGCACAAAATGGTGGCCACCTAGGAGCATTCAATTAGGCTGCGGTTTTCATATAGATACATGGTGTTCTTAGTTCTAATTAGTCTCTGGGGTGATCTCGGTTCGGGAAACGAACAAATTAACGAATGGAACCTCAAAAAGAATGAATGACTGGGGAAAGCTGATAGAAGGGAGTACAATTAGCTGAATGGTGATGGGGTTATCGCTTCACACTGCCCCCCCCTTTTATTCCCTGCTCCAGCAGGCACAGTTGGACATTTTTTGGGTCCATTAGGGACTGTCCGGACTGACTAACTATTCAGGTAGCAAATCGGTCTGGCGGGAAAGCCCATCTGCGTTCCCATTTTGTTTGCCTGGGCAATAATGTATGGTGAAATAATAAGGCAGTAGGGCAAGGCTCCACCGTAGCAGACGAGCATTATCTTCAGCGACCTGGTTGAGCCAGACTAGATGGTTGTGGTTTGTAATAAGGGTGAAAGCGAGGACAGATAACAGGTCAGTTTCTTGAGTGCCAAACACTCTTTTTCAATGGTCGCATAGCTGACCTCCCTAGGCAGGAGTTTCCGACTCATATAGGCTACCGGGTGCTCCCCACCCTCTTCTCCAATTTGGCTCAAAACTGCCCCCAGTCCAAACATGGAAGCGTCTGTATGGACGATAAAACGTTTGTTAGGACAGGTGCGTTAACAAGAGCTTGTTTCAGAGCTTGGAAAACCACACTCTGGGGACAACAGGACCTGTCGGGGTAATTTTTTCTTCGGCAAGTCAATCATGGGTTTGGCCATGGCGCTATAGTCGTGTACAAAGTGCCTGTATAGCCGACTGTCCCTAGAAAGGCCATGACTTGCATCTTGGGACGGGGAGTGGGCCAATTAGCAAAGGCCTCGATCTTAGCCGGCTCTGGCCGTTGCTTACCATATCCGACACTGTGGCCCAAATATTCTACCTTCGCCATACCAATGTGACACTTGTCAGACTTCAAGGTCAAGCTGGCTCTCCTAATTCTGTCCAACACTGTCCCTATGTGCTCTAGGTGGGCCATAAATAGTGATGTCGTCCAGGTATGCACAATCATAGGCATGGAGACCTCTTCTAAGAGGTGGTCCTCCATCCAATAAATTCGAAATTGGTATAGGCCGAACGGGGTGATGAAGGCTGACTTAGGGATGGCTTCTTCGGCTGAGGGGATATGCCAGTATCCCTTGCAGAGGTTGATAGTGGTCAGATATTGCCCCTTAGATATACGGTCGAGCAATTCGTCTACCCGGGCATTGGGTAGGCGTTGGTCACCGTTTTATCATTGAGCCGCCTGTAGTCAACACAGAAACGGGTTGTGGTCATCTCCTGGAAATTCGTTTTTGCATTTTGGGATGTCTGACAATACACATTCAGGGAAGAAATGTAACAGTAGCAGCAAGTGACATAACAAGAGATGTTGAGGGTCAATCAGTATCACCAGTAATATCACCTGCAGAAAATTCCACCTTTTCATTTCTGGTTCTGGTGACAGTGGTTCTTTACCTTGTGAAGGTGCTGCTCCTGCTGCTACATTTTGTTTCTAGGTTGTCGCTGCTGCTCCTGATTCTGCTAATCAATAGTGCTGCTGTCTGTGTATGGCATTGGCTCTGGCTCATCAGTTTTTGAGGGACTAGTCTCCCTTACAGCTTTCTTCTTTAAAAAAAACAAAAAAACAACTGCATTCTTGCGGTGATACTGCTGCAGTGCTAATTGATGTACCCATTGTACAGCACTACATTATTTGCTGGCTTTATATAAATAATAAAATAATAATAATGTACTAAACAACACTTTATTAATGTTTCAACTTGAAGAGTCCCCACCTGCTGGCCATGGGTGGGGCACCTGTCCACCTACCGTTATTTAGTTTAAAGTCCCCACAGCATGAGAAGACCTGTCTAGGTTCCCACTGATATTTTATAGACCCCATCTCCATGGGATGGGACCTTTGTTAGAGACTGGGCAGCAGTAGATGCATGTTGCTAGTTTTTAACTATAGTGAGCAACCACTGACTGCTCACTGTTTGGTATGCATGCTCCCATCTGCAGCATGGCAGGTGGAGGTTTAAGGGAGGTTTTATACCTTCCCTATACTAATATGGGGGTCACATTGACCCCCATATGCTTATTTATTTGCTAGTTTAATGTGGTGCACATAAGTAACCCATGCACCGCGAAGGGGTTTTTATGGATGAAATTCGTAAAGACCATGTAAAACATGAAAGTCACTGCCAATTCTACTTGTTTACATATAAGGTTTGCAATACTAGATGTTTGGGGAGGGGGGGAGGGTGGTGGGGAGAGAATAACAAGCTCATTTCTCAAAACAGCAAATCACAATAGTTCTTATTGGGCACTCATAATTGAGAATTACAACTGAATATGCTGTATTTATTTTATTTATTCCTAAAAAATCAGTTCAAAATCGGAGTTCACATCACCATTAAACATCCATCGCTGGACCTAATCGTAGACATAACTTCAACCCAGGAACACATTTAACTCTGTAGCATGCAAACTAAGCATCAACAAAGCTTTCAAAAAACACTAAAAGGTTTAGTTATGAAACAGTGCAACCAAAAAATCTACAAAATCTGTGTCAAAAAAAACTTTTCAACTCAGCTGAAGCCATAGTTTGACTATTTAGCCATGATTTTAAGATTTAGTTTACAGATCACCAAAATTTGCTACCATATTTTTGGGGAATAAAAGATGCACTTGAATATGACACACTCCTTTAGTTTAACAATACATTATGAAGAAAAAATAAATAAAACAACCATCTAGAGGTCTAACCCCCATAACGGGTCTCTTGTGCATCCCGCCCCCCTTTTTTCTTGTCTCTTGCTACCAGGTTTGGAATACTTAACTATATCTTAGATTAGGAAAAATATGGTATTTAGTGAATGAGCTTTCTTTTCTTTGTTATACGTACAACAAAATTAGACATTGTGTAGAGAAAATTATGTAATCATCATTAATAACAATCAAGATTAAAGCTATCAACAACAATCAACATTCATCCCAGATGAATTTCATATCTAGTTCTTTCATTTTCTCCTGGTAAATTCTATCCATGTATTCTTGTTGGGTTGTACTTAAACACGTTTTCCAGTCTCCACAAATTCCTAAAAAAGAAAACAAAAAAAATTTATATGTATATAAATATTAAATAATACACATAGGTGAATTTACATCGTGGGTTCAAGAAAAAAATGTATTTGACAAAGATTCACACGTCAGTATTCATATAAACAAAATTTATGAAAGCATTGGAGATAACAAAAAGCCAAAATTAATTCAGAAATACGAACAATTCTGAAGTAACAAAGGAGTTAAAAAAAATCAGAGAAAGGAAGAAGGGCCCTTCTGAAAGAGGAAAAAATAAAGGAAGAAGAAGAAAGTGGATAAGACACATTTTGGTTAAAGTTTGTTTGCATATGTAAAAGCCGTTTTTCCCAGTGAGAATCACGGAATCGCCTCTAGCGGCTGTCAGTGAGACAGCCACTAGAGGCTGGATTAACCCTCAGTGAAATATAGCAGTTTCTCTGAACCTGCTATGTTTTCAGCTGCAGAGTTAAAACGAGAGGGACCTGTCATTAAGCTGAAGTGGTCTGGGTGCTTATAGTGGTCCTTTAAGCTGTGTCTGAAGCCCAACAAACAAACTGAAAGATTGCTCTCAGGACTCACAGCCAGCAAGTCTTGCAGCTCAAAAGCCTTATGCTGAGGTAGCATATCTGGAAGATCTTCTCAAGAATACCTGCACAATCAATTTTTTATCCCTGTTTTTTAATTTACATTAGCTTTCCTATTAACCTCCCCTATACTTTTTCAGCTTAATTGATAACTTAAAGGGATATTCCAGGCATCCAGTCCACTTCTGCTCATTGGAGTGGTCTGCAAGTGTAATTATTGTAGTTTTCATAAACTGAAATATTTACCTTTCAGGGTTAAGTCCTCCTTTAGTGGTTGTCTATCAGACAGCCACTAGAGGGACTTCCGTGTTCTTAGAACACGAAAAGTGTATTATACGATGCTGGACGTCCTCACACTGTGAGGACCTCCAGCATGGCCGAAATCCCCATAGGAAAGCATTGAATAATGCTTTCTTATGGGGAGGTCTAATGCGTGTGCGCGGCCAGCGGGCGGGGGAGGAGAGTAGACGGAGCCTGACCCAGCACTGAGGGACATCGGCGCTGGACTCCGGTAAGTCACAGAAGCTTGGCATGGGGGGTGAGAGGGTGGAAGGGAGAGGAGCACTGTAGGGTCCTGCAGTGCCGGGAAAACAAACATGTTTTCCTGGCACTGGAGAATCCCTTTAAATTGCTTTTGTTAATGTTAGTTATTGCACCAATAGTCCTATTAATTTATGTTCAACTTTTATTACTTTCACCTATCTGATCTTTACCATGCCCTCCTATCTTTAAATCTCAGTTGTCCTCTCCTCTGTTTTCTTCTCTTAATTGCCCTTTCTCACTTCAATATCTGCATGTCCCTCTTCACCCATAATTGATATTTTTTATCTAAACCCAAACTTTCTATTTCACTTTGAGCCCCAACAAACAAACTTAAAGGTTGCTCTCAGAACTCACAGCTAGCAAGTCTTGCAGCTCAAAAGCCTTATGCTTATAGCATCTCTGGAAGATTTTTCCCACCAAACCTGCCCTACACACCATCCTCCCCCGGGTTCTCACTACATTTATAGATAGCTCAAATCACCTTGTTTTCCAAACACACCAATCATGTCTTTAATATTCTCCTCTCCTGTAACACCTCCATTCCCATGCCACAGACCAGTTAACTCTTCACCCCTCCACGCTCTCCTATGGTCCTAGTTGCCCTTATAATTTCCTCATCTATAACAAAACACTACTTAACAATGTTCTCTCTCTATTTTTCTGTTAAACCTTAACATCTCTCATAACTAAAATCTCTATCTTTCTGCTTACGGGTCCTTACTGACACCATCTTCATTGCTCCTGGTTTACTTCCCTCCTCTTTCTGTTCATCCCATACTCTATACTCATACCTATCCTCCCTTTCTCCTCAAACTCCTTCTAAAACCTCAAAATACAAACATTCAATCAAGACATTCAAATATTACTCTCACCTTCTATTACTTTCTATGCTTCTGCTCCTGACAGCTGGTGATGCCTCTCCAAAGCCTGGTCCCATCTCTACCTACCTACCTTGTGTCCAACTCAGAAACCTCTCCAATCTTATATCCATCCCATGTAACTCACCCTTTAAGCCTTTCTTCCATTCTGCCCTCTGGAATGCACGCTCTGTATTCACCATAACTAAATCTACTTCCATCCATGACATTCATCTCACTCTCCCTAAACTTACTTGCTTTAACTAAAACTTGACTCACTCCTTCTGACACAGCTACCCCTGCCTCATTATCCTATGGTGGTCTACAGTTTACGCACAACCCAAGACAGTCTGACAGTAAAGGTGGCGGTGTAGGTTTCTGCTTTCTCCCCAATGCTCCTTCAAAAAACCTCTACCCCCCCCCCTCTCTTTTTCCTCCTTTAAAATTCACTCAGTTTGCTTATTCAAACCCATATCTGTAAATATTGCTTATTGTTATTTATCGCCTCCTAAGTTCTCCTCGCCTCTTCCTTGAACATTTTGCTGCCTGGCTTCCTTACTTCCTCTCAAGCAATATCCCATCCCTAATTCTAGGGGATTGTAACATTCCCATTAATCAACTAGTTGGTACCCCTTTATCGGAAGAGAATATCAATTAATTGAGTTTTGTTGTTGACAGATTTTTTAATTTTTCTTGAGTATAAACTGGCCATGATGCTTTAGGAGCTTGTTTGAATGTTTATCAAGTGTCTATTTTATATGGCCTATATATATAATTTTTTGTTCTTCCCTTTTCCTGTCTCCCGGTTCCTTTATACTTTTTTTCTGATTTCTATGAGGAATAGAAAAATATAGGGTCCCTACTTTTAGAAACATATGACCTCTATTTATTATATGTAGAATAGGTCTCTCTACCTTGAGCCTCTTTTATTATAACTACTAAAAAGCTGTTCTTTTAAATGAGTCTAAAAGGTTCAAGATGTGGATATGGGAATTTATTCCAATGGTGGATTTCATAGAAAATAAAAAGATGTTGAGATATTCAATATCCCTCTATGGAATTAAGAGTCTTGTTGTCTAAGTGAGAATTTTTATTGTTTAAATGGAGTTTTTCAACTCATATTAATTCATGTTGTTAAATTTTTATTATGATTAGAGTTGAGCGGACACCTGGATGTTCAGGCCTGGCGGGTTCGGCCAAACTTTGAAAAAAAGTCCAGGTTCGGGAACTTGACCCCGAACCTGAACCCCATTGAAGTCAATGGGGACCCGAACTTTTGGGCACAAAAATGGCTCTAAAAAGTTCTGGAAAGGGCTAGAGGGCTGTAAAAGGAAGTAAAATGGGGGTAAGAGTAGGACAAGTGCCCTGCAAACAAATGTGGATGGGGAAATCACTTAAAATAACTTAAAATTACATAAAATAAGCAGCCGCTTAGTAGATAACTCCCTAATTACCACGGTATTAGGTAACTAGCTACCAAAAGGCTGAAAGACCTAAATTGGTCTTTCAGCCACATTTACTAATACTAAGTAAAGATTACTTAGTATTAGTAAATTCAGCCCCTACTCGCTATACCGCAAGTAGGGGCGTGTCTAGTAAACAGTGAGCAGCCAGTGGCTACTCACTGTAAATAAAACAAAAAAAACCCCTATTGCCCCCATCCCTGAGCGGCGGGTGGTTGGCCCTAAATAACAATAAGGGGAGGCCTACTGTCCTCCCCCCCTGAGCGGTGGGTGGGGGCTATAAATAAAACTGGGGAGACCTAATGTCCTTCCCCCGACCCCCACCCCTGCACGGCGGGTGGGGGCCCTAAATAACAACGAAGGGGGATGTACTGTCATGCCCCCGGCCCCTGAGCGGTGGGTGGGGGCTATAAAAAAATGGGGGGGACCTGCGCAGTGGGTGGGGGCCATAAATAAGAATTTGGGGGGGGGGACCTACTGTCATTCCCCCTGGCCCCCACCCCTGAGTGGCGGGTGGGGGCCCTAAATAAAACTTTACCCCCACAGGTGACTAGGGGTCCCCAAACCCCTAGTCACCCCCTCCCCCCAAAAAAAATTTACCCCTACCTACCCTCTTCATCCTAAAAATAATGAGGGGGGGACCCTTATCTAAATACCTGTTAAAAAAAAAAAAAAGACTTACCATTTGATGTCTTCTTTCTTCTAAGCTCTTCTTTTTTCAGCCCCAAAAAAGGCCAAATAAAAATCCATAATAACCAACGCACTTTAAAAAAAAAAAAAAAAGCGCAAAAAAAATAAATCAATTTTCACCCATGGAGGGCTCCGTGCAGACTGAGCTTATAAAGCAATTAGGCTCAAAGCACTCTGATTGGTGGGTTTAAGCGATCCAATCAGAGTGCTCTGACAGGTAAATGAAGAGACTGACAGGTAAGTCTCTACATTTACCTGTCACAGCACTTTGATTGGTTGGCTTGAAATCCACCAGAGTGCTCTGTGTCATTTTACATAGCATGGAAAAGTTATTTGGAATTTTCCCATGCTGTGTAATTTGACTCATAACACTTTGATTGGTTACTTAATCCACCAATCAGAGTGTTATGAGTCAAATTACACAGCGTGGGAAAATTCCAAAGAACTTTCCCACGCTGTGTAAATTGACACAGAGCACTCTGATTGGTTAGCTTGAAATACAGCCAATTTTGCACAGCGTGGGAAAGGTCTTTGGAATTTTCCCACGCTGTGTAAAATGACACAGAGCACTCTGGTTGGTTAACTTGAAATCCATCCAATCAGAGTGCTCTGTGTCATTTTACACAGGATGGGAAAGTTATTTGGAGGTGGAGGCCGGGGGGAGGACAGAAGGCCCCCCCCAAATTCTTATTTATGGCCCCCACCCACTGCGCAGGGATGGGGGTCAGGGGAGGACAGTAGGTTCCCCCCTTATTGTTATTTAGGGCCCCCACCCGCCGCGCAGGGGTGGAGGCTGGGGGGAGAAGAGTAGGTCCCACTCCCCTTATTGTTATTTAGGGCCCCCACCAGCCACACAGGGGTGGGGGCCGGGGGGGGAGGACA